CCACACACCCCCACTCACACCACACACACCACACACACACACCACCCCCAGCGACCACACATGGGCGACACACACACGAGTGCTAGTGCGCGGGCGCGCACACACACACACACACACGATCACACACCACAGGCTCGGCCACACCATGCCTGCCGCATCGTGGACCGTTGCCCGGTGAGCCGCTGGCCTGCGCGCTGTGTGGCGTGTGTTACCCAGCACTCGCTCACATAAAATCTATTGCGCGACGCATCCAGAATCTCGCTCGAATTAACTTTCTTTGCGTCGACGAGTCTGTCGCTGTGATGACGTCATCGGATTTAGTTGTTGGTGTGAACGTCATCGGACCGCCGTGGCGTGACGTGTGTCGACGAAATGAGTTTGCTTACGTTTGCCAATCAGGGGCGCATATAAACGCCCAGCTACTCAAACGATACGTGGCTTGGTACCGTTGATACATACAATACACACATGCGTACCAGGAGTTAAAATGACAATTTAATGTCATTAATTTGTCACAAATTTGTCCATATTAACTCCTGATAGCGGACGGTACATGCGTTCGTTATATCAGTCATTCAAATATTTCGCCAATGTTCACATGAAGCAAACATCGAGACCAAGCTGTCATTGTGGAAACAGAAATATGAGCGATGATGGTAATGACAGAAAAGAAAACCCTACGTGGTTAGTTCTTCCTCGCTGTGGCTGCGTGCTGTAACCCTACCTTAACGGCTTTTTCCCAATATTCCTCTTACGTGGGTTTTTTTCTTGTTGTTGTCAGACAACAGTGCAGATTCATGTCCATTTTAACATGCGACTGCGTATGCCGTTAAATTTAATTATAGCTTGTATCTATATAGCCTTGCAGATCAACCCCCACCCTCCCATGTCTTCCCTTCTCTGGCTGCCGAACACCCGCCCCTAACAGACCTTCCGTCGTCCGTCACTCATTATCGTAGCCGTTTTAAATTAATTGGGATGTATTACGGCAGGAAATTAATTAAGCGAACACTCGTTAGCGCGAAGTCCGTCGCGCGGGGTGACTATCGCCACAAACAGACATCCGTCGGAGCTTCTTCGTCGTCCTGCGGCGACCCGCCGACGCAAGAGACGTGACATATCAACAGCGCGTGCGTCATAGAATTCAAGATTCGAAGAATTACAAGATTCAATAAATTTATTTGTTGGCACAACGACGCCCATAAGTAAATTTATATACAGCAACACACATTGATTATAAATCCGTGAACAAAAAAAAACAAATACAATCAATTACTAAATTGGAGCACAGGGGACGGCGAAAAACCCGCAGGTCATCAAAGGTCATACACCACAGTGGCGACCGTCGCGTGATAGCGGCGTCGGAAATCGAGCCGGCGTCACGAAACCCGGAAGTCGGGCGCAACCGACGTTCCGTGTCCCGGCGTCTAGGTGCGACTAACGAGGTATCGGTTAATGGGTGGAAGATTACTTTCAATAAAGCAGCGTAGTTTGTATTACGTGGTGGGCTATAATTAACCTAGTAGGTGCGTGGATGAACCCGTGCGGTATTGGTGTAAGAGAAAGTGACAGAGAGGGGAGAGATAGCGCGAGCGTGCGAAGAAGACGGAGAAGAGATGGAGCATAGAAGAGAGAGAAGAGAGAGGAGAGAGAGAGAGAGAGAGAGAAAAAGAGAGAGAGAGAGAGAGAGAGATGGTTAGGAAGAAAGAGAGAGAGCAGAAAGAGAAGAGAGAGGCGAAGAGGAGAGAGAAAAAAGAACGAGAGAGAGAGAGAGAAGAGAGAGAAGAGAGAGAGAGAGAGAGAGAGAGAGAGAGAGAAAGAGAGAGGTAGAAGAAAGAGAGAGAGAGAGAGAGAGAGAGAGAGAGAGAGAGAGCAAGAAGAGAGAGAGAGGAAGAGAGAGAGAAGAGAAAGAGAGAGAGAGAGAGAGGTAGAAAGAAAGAAGAGAAGAGAGAAAGAGAGAGAGAGCGAGAAGAGGAAGAGAAAAAGAACGAGAGAGAGAGAAGAAGAGAGAGAGAGAGAGAAAGGGAGAAAGAGAAGAGAGAGAGAGAGAAAGAGAGACGAGAGAGAGCGAGAGAGAGGAGAGAAGAGAGAGAGAGAGAGAGAAGAGAAGAGAGGTAGAAAAGAAAGAGAGAGAGAAAAAGAGAGAGAGACGGCAGAGGAAAGAAGAAAAAAGAGAACGAGAGAGAGAGAGAAGAGAGAAGAGAGAGAGAGAGAGGAGAGAGAGAGAGAGAAGAGAGAGAGAGAGAGAGAGAGAGAGAGAAGAGACGGGAGGAGAGTAACGGAGCACAGAATGTTCATACAGCGGTAGTACGTAATCCACTACCATCTACATTATTTACTTGTCTGAAACTGCACTAAGTTTTTACATCTTAACACATGTGCCCTTCCAATCACGTTACGTCAATGCCATCTGCTCTTCATCAGGCAAATGCAAAGCTATAGCAAGACGTGGATATACTATAATATATATATATATATATAATATATATTATTTTCCCCTGAAGCTAGTAAAGTGAAAACCGTTAGTGCGCGTAATTATGCTCCAGTTGTCATTCTCAGATATTTTCTTGTTTCTCTGTGGCATGTCGGTGCATTTGGAAAACTTACGTTAAATATATATATATATATATATATTATATATAATATATATATCAGGAGTAGATAATAGGGATTTATTCTATTTATTTATTATCTACTATTATTATATTTTCTCACTTATTATCTTTTATCTTTCACTGATTATTATATATTAGTATATTATATTTAGTTTTTTAATTTAATATATATTTAAGTATTATATTTAAGTTATAATAATTTATTATATATTTAGTAAGTATAATTAGTTATATATATATTAAGTCATCACCACATATTCCATGTAACTGTTGCCTGTGGCTAGCATCTCACAGCCTCATAATCATCAGAATTAGCGGCAACTGGTCATTTTGCATAAATGAGGCCACCTACGACCGCAATTTCCCCCCCAGGTCAACAGGACCGCAAACATAACATAAGGCGAGTAAGATAATGTCGGTGAGACAGAGTGTCAGAATTTTATTAATGAAAAAGAAAATGAGAACGGCAACATGACAATGCGCCAGGAACGTTATTTACATTCGAATACGATGAATGGACGTTCACATACGACGCCGGCCGTTCATTGGTCGCCGCGCGCATGCTGGCGTTTATCGGCGGCGGCAGCGTCGTTATCAACAAATAAAGTCGATTAAATCGAAAAAAAATCGATCACGTTATGTGGACGGAAACGGTGGAAAAACAGTTATCTGAGGAGATTAAGGTGACGATAAATCAAGCAACCGTGGCGACACCATTGTGGCGGCAAGCCGCGCGAACGGCAGATTGCATGAAAATATAGCCGAGACGATTGGGAGCGCGCAAATTTCGTTCGACGCTTCTCTTCCTTCCGCGAAAAGGTTAAACAACCATATTGTCTGCGGCCCAAAGGCAATACATACATCACGGTCCATAATAAATCACTGCGAGCGACAGTAGACGGAACAAGCACGAAGCGGAAAACTTGACGCACATGTTGTGACACAGCGGCAGGGAGAACGTTCAGAAAAGAACGCACCGACAAGACGCAGAGCCACGTGACGCACATAGGACGCAATACCTATGCAATGCCGAATCCTAACAGTCGATACTCCACTGCTACTAGCCAGCACGCCTATATATGTATGCATTTCATGGAAACTTGTTAGCAGCTTGAGCAGAAGCACGCAGTTCCTAATGCCAGGAAATTGGAGAAGGGCAAGAAAGCGAGAGGAAGAGAGGGCGTGGAGAAGTATAAAGGAGAGAGAGAAAGAGAGAGAGAGAGAGAGAGAGACAGAGAGAGAGAGGAGAGAGAGAGAGAGGTAGAGAAGGGAGAGAGAGGTAGAGAAAGAAGAGAGAGGAAGAGAAGGCGAGGAGAGGTAGAGAGGGAAGAAAGAGGTTGAAAGGGGAGAGAGAGGTAGCGAGGGGAGAGAGAAGTAGAGAGAGGTAGCGAGGGGAGAGAGAAGTAGAGAGAGGCGAGAGAGATGTAGAGAGAGGAGAAAGGAGAGAGGAGAGAGGAGAGAGGATGCCACCGCTGCTACTGCTACTGATGCTTCTGCTACTGCTACTGCTGCTGCTGCTGCTACTGCTGCTGCTGCTACTGATGCTGCTGCTGCTGCTGCTGCTGCTGCTGCTGCTGCTGCTGCTACTGCTGCTGCTGTTGCTGCTACTGATGCTGCTGCTGTCATTAACGAGTTGCATCACAAGTTTGAATGCATCTGCGGAAATAAAATCGTTGACTTTCGACAAAAGCTGTCAGGATCATAATATCAAATCGTCCAGGTTTTTTGGAATTTTAACTAGTTGAGAAACAATCTTATCAGGTAAGAATTTGACGATACATTTAGTCCCGCTAGTACTTACTTTTAATGTAAAAAAATGGCAACAACATTTTTAAAAATATACACCAGAAAATTCGTGACGTAGTCAACTTAAACGGTCCACGTAAGGCACAGCATAGCTGTAAGTAGAGAGGGGCTGCTCCTCGGTACCATTATTACAGGTTCCGCTCAGTGGAAGTTACTGGAGGTGATTGTTGGTTCGGACACTCGATCGTCGCCACGGCAACGTGTGATCCCCTCGCCGGGTTCGGTTTGAGATTCGCGTTGAGTACTCTAGCTGCTCTTCTATTAGCTTATCTTTCTCTGTTCTTGAGTTGAGTCTAGTTGCATTGCACGAGTGTGGCAGTTACCACGGGTACTGTACGCTGACACTGGTACTACACCCACCCACGTAACAAGCACGATCACATGTCCCCCACGCATGCGCCACGCCGCCCCTCTTTTTGACAAATTTAGACGAGAGATGCACAGGTATTGCACGCTGACACCAGTACTACAGCCACCCAGGTAACATGACATATCCCCCCATGCACGCGCCACGCCGCCCCTCTTTTCCGCAAATTTAGGCGAGAGATGCTCATATCATCCGTCTGGAGCGCCCCCTGGTATCACGCGTAGGTGACGCGCACGCTGAACGTCTCCTCGTTGTTGTCGGCATCGTCGTTGACAAAGACGAGCACGTCGGCGCCCCCTGGTGATGGCGCGGGCAGGAAGTGCAGGCCGAGAGCGCGCGTCTCTCCAGCCGTGAGCTCGAAGCGTGTCTCACGGAACTGTAGCAGGTCACTGCGGCTCGTCAGCAGGTGAAACGCACGCCGCTCCGCGTACGGGTTCGTGTAGGCGATCTTCTGCACAGGTGAAAAAAACACAGGTGCATTCGATTCAATAACAAGGTAAGACCACAGGTGAAAAAAACACAGGTGCATTCGATTAAATAACAAGGTAAGACCACAGGTGAAAAAAAACAGGTGCATTCGATTAAATAACAAGGTAAGACCACAGGTGAAAAAAACAGGTGCATTCGATTAATTACCCAGGTAACACAATCATACATACGCGCATTACAGCCAGGTAATGTCAGAAATGCATGGAATTGCAGAATGTCGCTGTAGCAACACAGGTGTATTCAATTAATTAACTGCGTAAAGTAGGTACATAGTTGTGCTAGATTAATCAGGTAATATACAAACAGAGGTAAGACAGGTGCAAAGGTGTGTTCGATTCATTAGCCAGACAACATGGGTACACGCGTGTAAAGTTACCAAGGTAAGGTAGGTAGACAGGCGTGTGCTAGCCAGGTAAAATAGCATAAGATATAACATAACGGCAAGAATCGAAGCTGTAAACATTCCCACTTAAACGATGCAAACAAACAGCAACGATGACAAACAATCGCCCTGAGTGATATAACTATATCACATTTGAATATTCTTGCTAGGTTGGTCAAGCCAGACAGAGTGACTGACCCCAAAAGCATCAAGACCCCAAGACACTTCGTTACCGAGCAGTGCTTTCAGAACGTTTTCGTCACACACTGATTGGCTGGGCTGAGTGCGTCTGAGGGCTTGAGTTGTCTGCCAATCGCTTCAGGCAAGCAGGTTGATTTCATTCACTCGCTGACCCCATGCTCGTCCTTCTTACTTGTGCCCGCGATTCGCACTTTATATCTTTCCTTGGTGTCGCATCCTTACTTGTTTGTTCCCCTCCTTAGCTTTGTCTTGCGTTTCCCCCTCCTTATTGTCCTCTGGCGTTTCCCTCCATTAGCTTGTCTTGGTTTCCTCCCTTACTCTCTCTGGTTTCTCTCCTTGACTTGTCTTCGGTTTCCCTCCTTTACATTGTCTAGTCTTCCTTCTTCACTTTTGTCTTGGTTTCCCTCCTTAGCTATCTCTCTTGGTTTCTCTTCCTTACATTGTGCTTATGGTATTCCCTCCTTACTTGTCTTGGTTTTCCTCCTTACTTGTCTTCTGGTTCCCTCCTTATACTTGGTCTCTCGGTTTTTCCCTCTTACTTACGTCTTGTTCCCCTCCTTACTTGTCTGGTTTCCTCCTTACTTGTCTGTTTCTTTCTCTCCTTACTTGTCCTTGGTTTCCCTCCTTACTTGTCTTGGTTTCCCTCCTTACTTGTCTTGGTTTCCCTCCCTTGTCTTGGTTTCCCTCCTTACTTGTCTTGGTTTCCCTCCTTACTTGTCTTGGTTTCCCTCCTTACTTGTCTTGGTTTCCCTGCCTTACTCTTGTCTTGGTTTCAGCTTCTTACTTGTCTCGGTTTCCCTCCTTACCTTGTCTTGTCTTCGCCTCCATTACTTGGTCTTGGTTTCCCTTACTTGTAAGCTTGTCTTGGTTTCCCCTCCTTACTTGTCTTGGTTTCCCTCCTTACATTTGTCTTGTTGCGACCTCCTTATTTTGTCTTGGTTTCCCCTCCTTAACTGTCCTGTTTCCCATCCATTACTTGTCTCTTGTTCGGGCCTCCTTATCTTGTCTTGGTCTTCCCTCAACTTACTTGTCTTGTTTCCCTCCTTACTATGTCTTGTTTCCCTCCTTACTTTGTCTTGGTTTGCCATCCCCTTACATTGTCCCTTGGTTTCCCGCTCCATTACATATATTACATCAGGCGCTCTTCCGCTCCTGTACTTTGTCTTTGGTTTCCGCTCCTTACTTGTCTTGTTTGCCCTCCTTACTTTTTCTTGGTTTCCTTCCTTACTTGTCGTTGGTTTCCCTCCTTCAAACTTGTCATTGGTTCCCTCCTTCTACTTGTCTTGGTTTCCCTCCTTACTCTTCTTGGGTTTCCTCCTTACGTTGTCTTGGGTTTCCCTCCCTTTAACTTGTCTTGCTTTCCTCCTGTACTTGTCCTTGGCTTTCCCTCCCTTAACTGTGTTCTTGGTTCCCATCCTGTACTGCTTTTTTTCAATTTATGTTTCTTACCTCACTTACTTGTTTCTGGCGTTTCCTCACCTTACTTGTCTTGGTTCGCGCTCTTAACTTGTCTGGGTTTCCCTCCTATACTGTCTTTGGTTTTCCCATTCCTTACTTGTCTGGTTTCGCCTCCTTACTTGTCTGGTTTCGCTCTTTAACCTCTGTCTTGGTTTCCCTCCTTAACTTGGTCCATTGTCGTCTTCACCTCCATCTACTGTCTTGGTTTCCGCTCCTTACTTGTCTTGTTTTCCTCCTTACCTTTGTCTGGGTTCCTCCTTACTGTGCTCTTGGCTTTCCTTCCTTAACTTGTCTTCGAGGTTTCCCTCCTTACTTGTCTGGGCTTTTCCCTCCTTACTGTCTTGGTTTCCCACCAATTTACTGTCTGGTTCCCTCCTCTACCTGTCCTTGGTTTCCCTCCTACCTCTGTCTGGGTTTTCCCATCCTTAACTTGTCTTCGGTTTCCCACCTTACTTGTCTTTCGGTTTCCCCATCCTTGACTTGTCTGGGCTTTCCTCCTTACTTGTCTTGGTTTAAGCCCCACCTTACATGCTCTTGGTTTCGCCTCCCTTACTTGTCTTGGTTTTCCCCACTTAACCTTGTCTTGGTTTCGGCCTCGCTTACTTGTCTTGTTTTCCTCCTTACTTGTCTTGGTCTCCCACCTTACTTGTCCTTGGTTTCCCTCGCTTAACTTGTTCTTGGGTTTCGCCTCCTCATTGGTTTCCCCTCCTTGACTTGTCTTGGTTTCCCTCCTTACTTGTCTTGGTTTCCCTCTCTACTTGTCTTGGTTTCCCTCTTTACTTGTCTTGGTTTCCCTTCGCTTACTTGTCTTGGTTTCCCAACCCTTACTTGTCTTGGTTTAACGCCTGCCTATTGTCTGGGTTCCTCGCTTACTTGTCTTGGTTCGCCACCTTAACTCTGTCCTGGTTTCCTTCCTTTCACTTGTACTTGGTTTCGCCTCCTTACTTTCTTAAGCTTCCCTCCTTTACTTGGGTCGTTGGTTTCGCCTCTCTACTTGTCTTGGTTTCCCTTCTTACTGTGTCTTATGGTTTCCGCTCCTTACCTTGTCTGGGTTTACCCTCCTCTAGCTCTGTCTTGGTTTCCCTCCTTAACTTGTCTTCGGTTTCCCTCCTTTACTTGTCTTGGTTTGGCCTTACTTTCTACTTGTGTCTTGGTGCCCTCCGTCTACTTGTCTTGGTTTCTTCCTTACTTGTACTTGGTTTCCGCCTCTTTAACTTGTCTGTTTCCCTTACTTACTATTTCTTGGTGTCCCTCCTTACTACTGTCTTTGGTTTCCTTCCTTACTTGTTTGGTTTTCCTCCTTACTTTGTCTGGTTCCTTCTCGCTTACCTTGTCTTCGGTTCGCCTCGCTTACTTGTCTTGGTTTCCCATGCCCTTACCTTTCTTTGTTTCGCCTCCTTACTTATGTCTTGTTTCCCCTCCTTACTTGTCTTGGTTTCCCTTCCTATACTTGTCTTGAGTTTCCCTCCTTACTTTGTCTATGGTTTCCCTCCTTTACTTGTTCCTTGGTTTTCACTCCTTGTCTTGGTTCCCTCCTTACCTTGTCTTGGTTTCGCCCTCCTTAACTTGTCCTTGGTTTCCCCTCCTTCCTTGTCTTGGTTTCCCCACTCCTTACTTGTCCTGGGTTTCCCTCCTTACTGTGTCTTGGTTTCACCTCCTTACTTTGGTGCTTGGTTTCCCTCCATTACTGTCTTGGTTTCCCTCCTTACTTGTCTTGGTTTCCCCCTCCTCTACTTGTCTTGGTCTCCCCCCTCCGTTACTTGTCTTGGTACTACGTCCTCGTGTACTTGTATTGGTTGCCTCTTTACTTGTCATCGAGTTTTCCCTCCTTACTTGTTCTTGGTTTCCCTCACTTAACTTGTCTTGGTTTCCCCCTTACTTTGTCTTGGTTTCCCTCCTCAACTTGTCTGGTTCCCTCTCTTACGTTGTCTCTCGGTTTCTCTCCTTACTCTGTCTTGGGTTTTCACTCGCGTTACTGTCTTGGTTTCCTTCGCTTACTTGCTTAGGTTTTTTCTCACTTAACTTGTCTGGTTTGCCTGCCCTTAATATTGTTCTTGGGTTTCCCTCACTTACTTGTCTTCGGTTTCCCACTCCCTGCTCTTGGTTTCCCTCCTTACTTTGTCTTGTTTTCCCTCCTCTTGTTTCCCTCCATCTACGCTGTCTTGTTTCCTTCGCTTACTTGTCATTGGTTTCCCCTTTACTTTGTTCTTGGTTTCCCTCCTTACTTGTCTGGTTTCCCTCCCTTACTTGTCATGGGTTTCCCTCCTTAACTTGGTCTTGGTTTCCCTCCCTTAACTATGTCTTGGTCCTTCCTCCCTTTACTTGTCTTGCGTTTCCTCCCTTACTTTGTCTTGTTCCCGCTCCTTACTTTGGTCTTGGTTTCCCTCCTTACTTGTCCTTGGTTATCCCTCCTTTACTCTGTTCTTTGGTTCTCCTCCTAACTCTTGTCCTTGGTTTTCCGCTCCTTACTTGGTCTTGGTTTCCCTCTTACTTGTCTTGGTTTCCCTCCTTACTTGTCTTGGTTTCCCTCCTTACTTGTCTTGGGTTTTTCCCTCCTTACCTCTGTCTTGGTTTCCGCCTCCTTAACTTGTCTTGGTTTCCCTCCGTTGACTTGTCTTGTGCGTTTCGGCCTCCTTACTTGTCTTGGTTTCCCTCCTTACTTTGTCTTAGTTTCCCCTCCTTACTTGTCTTGGTTTCCCTCCCATTAACTTGTCTTGGTTTCCCTCCTTACTTGTCTTGGTTTCAACTCCTTGTCTTGTTTCCGCCTCCTTACTTGTCTTGGTCCACTCGCTTAAAAACTTGTCTGGCTTTTTCCTCCCTGTACTTGTCTTGTGTTTCCCTTCCTTACCTTGTCTTCGGTTTCCACTCCCTTACTTGTCTTAGCTTCCCTCCTTACTTGTCGTTGGTTTCGCGCTCCTCTAAACCCTCTGTCTTGGTTTTTCCCTCGGCTTATTGTTTGTGTTTCCCTCCTTACTTGTCTTGGTTTCTCCTCGCTTACTTGTCTTGGGTTTCCCTCCTTAACTTGTCTTGGTTTTCCCTCCTGTACTTGTGCTTGGTTTTCCCTCCTTACTTGGTCCTTGGTTTCCCTCCTTACTTGTCTGGTTCCCTCTTACTTGTCTTGTTCCCGATCCTTACTTTGTCTTGGTTTCCCTCCTTACTTGTCTTCGTTACCCCCCCCCCCCCCCCCCCCGCCCCCCCCCGCTCGCCTCCTTACTTATCTTGGTTTCACTCCTTGATCTTGGTTCCCTCTCCCTCTTTTGGTTCGCCTCACATTACTGTCCTGAGGTTTCCCTCCTTACTTAGTCTTTTCGTTTTCCCTCTTTACTTGTCTTGGTGTTCCTGCCCTTAGTTGTCTGGTTCTCCCTGTTCTTACTTGCAATTACTCTTTGGTTTATCTCCTTACATTTACTCTCCTTGTCTTATCGGTTTCCCTCCTTACTGTCTTGGTTTCCCTCCTTACTTGTCTTGGTTTCCCTCCTTACTTGTCTTGGTTTCCTTACCTTTACTGTGTCTTTGGTCTTCCCTCCTTACTTGTTTTCGACGAGTTTCGCCTCTTTCGACAGTGTCTTGGCTTTCCCCTCCTTATTGTCTCTGGACTTTCCCTCTACTTGTCTTGGTTTCCCTCCTTAAACTGTGTCTTGGTATTCCCTTCTCCTTACTTGTCTTGGTTTCCCCTTTACTTGTCTTGGTTTCCCTCCTTACTTGTCTTGGTTTCCCTCCTTACTTGTCTTGGTTTCCCTCTTTACTTGTATTGGTTTCCCTCTTTACTTGTCTTAGTTTCCCTCCTTACTTGTCTTGGTTTCCCTCCTTACTTGTCTTGGTTTCCCTCCTTACTTGTCTTGGTTTTGCCCTCCTTACTTGTCTTGGTTCCCTCCTTACTTGTCTTGGTTTCCCCTCCTTACTTGTCTTGGTTTCCCTCCTTACTTGTCTTGGTTTCCCTCCTTACTTGTCTTGGTTTCCCTCCTTACTTGTCTTGGTTTCCCTCCTTACTTGTCTTGGTTTCCCTCCTTACTTGTCTTGGTTTCCCTCCTTACTTGTCTTGGTTTCCCTCCTTACTTGTCTTGGTTTCCTTTCTTACTTGCCTTGGTTTCCCTCCTTAATTGTGCTAGTTGCACTTCTTACTTACCCTGGTGTCCTGAAAACTAGACAATATATACGATATATTACGATATTACAATATATCGATGTCAACGGCAATAACTGCTGTCTCTGCCTTGCTTGGTATACCTTTACGGCTTTCCTGTAAATTTCATCTTGCACTTTAAAAAATAAGTAGCCTCGATAAGCCTGCGAAAAGAATATTTCCCCCACCCCCCCCAAACTTGTTGTAGTGCCTTGAAGTGCCTGTTTAAACCAAATGAAACGCCTGCCCTGCCCCATAACACGTCAAAATTCGACCACTCGCACTCTCTCTTTGCTCCCTCACTCTGCTCTTGTCTCTTCTCCTTTTCTTCTTTTCTTCTTCTGACAAACCTTCTTCCTCTTCGTCTTCTTCTTCTTTTTCTTCTTCTTCTTCTTCTCTTCTCTTCTTCTGACAAACATTCTTCTTCTGCTTCTTCTTTTTTTTGCTTTTTCTTGTCTCTGCTTCGAACAAATCTTCTTCTCATTCTTCTTTTTCTTCTTCGTCGTCTCATCTTTTGTGTGGTTTTTCTTGTCCTCTGCTTCGAGGAACCTTCTTCTCATTCTTCTTCTTCTTCGTTTTTTTTTGGTCTTTTTTTTGTCTGCTTGCCGGCTTCGGAACGAAACCTTCTCTTCTCATTCATCAATCTTCGGTCTTCGTTTTGTTTTGTTGCTTTTCTCTGTCTTTGCTTGCGGACTGAGACCTTCCTTCTTTCTCTTCTGTTTTTGCTTTTTTGTCCTCTGCGTATGACGAAGCTTCGCTCGCGTTTACAGTTTGCTGTCAACGTCGTGGACGTGGAGCTTCATCAGCTGCGGTATGCGGTCCGTGGCTCGTCTGTCTGTCCGCGACCACCGCGTCCATCATCCAAAGGTGTTCGAGCTAACCAGCTTCCCTGTAGGTGGAGGACACGGCTCAACAAGGTATATACGCAGAGAGGCTTCTTTTCACGCAATCAATCAATCAATCAATCGCTCACTGAGGGCTTGTATTTCTTGTGATGTCTCGTCATGTTCGCGGTTCCTGTTTGATGTTCCTGTGGATGTTCATCTTCTTGTTGCATGCGTGTCGTTCCCGTTGATCACCTGTGTGTATATGTGATCTGCTATCGTCGTAAAAGGGTAAGTTAATTCGTAGGTTCTCACGCTGTGGAGGTGAGTTTAATCACGTCCCTTTTGGTTACCTGTGAAGGTGAAGCAGATTCGTGGCTTCTCTCACGCTGTTAAGAGCGGGTGTATCGTGATCTCCTGTCGTCTAGGGAAGGTAGTTTAATTCGTAGTTGTCTCACTGTGAAGGTGAGTTTAATTGTCCTTTCGTTACTGTGGCAATAGGAGGGACTCACAGCTTCTTCTTCGGTTGAAATGGAGTTAATCATGTTGGTCTCCTCTACCGTGGAAGGAGGATTTGATTATTTCCTTCGCAGCGCTGTGGCATGGGATTGGTTCGTGACTACTTCTTTCACTCAGTGGATTACAAATAATTCATCGCTTTTTACACCTGTGGCCGTGATATTTATATGTGGGTTAATCTTCCAAAAATTTGTATTGATACATCACACCGTGTGGCCGTAAAATAGATTGAATAGGTTTCCGCCTCTGCGCTGCGGCGTTCGGACTTAATTCTGTCCCTTATCTCACGCAGGAATTGATTCACGGTTTGTCTGACCTTTATCGTGGAGTGGGTGATCAGATTTCCTGGGGCGTTTTCACGAAGCGTGATTAACTTTAATTATGATTAAATTCACCTTAAATCATAATTAATACATAATTAATGCATATATTAATCCTTGTAATTATGATTAGTTAATTCAACTTAAAAATTCTGTTTGTCCGGAAGCGATTAATTAGCAATTTAACTAATCCACATATAATTGAGCCGACTTAAGCATGAATTAGCACTGATAATTCAAGAATGTTGGAGCAACGCCAAATAGTAATCTTGCAAACATCGGTACATGGACAAGGAATAATTGTTGCAATTATAACGTATAATACTAAATTTAGTGACAGCTAATACTTAGAATAATTTAATATTTCCTTGGAGAAAAATTGAAGTAAAATTTCCCAATTGTAAAATCTGGCAGTGTAACTTTAATATACTAGTACTACATAACATACTAC